AATTCCAAATTAATTATTGATCAATACTAATTAAATAATATGATTTCTCAATTAATATATTATACTTATAATATATTAATAAATCACAAATAACATCTTTTTCAAATATCCATCCTATCAAATTGCCCTGGTGAATGCAACCCGAAATGAATCATGCTACTCTCGGGTCAAATACATACCAATTATAGTTATGGGCTTAGACACCTAATCCAACAGTAATATATTAAATCGTAACCATAAACTACTTTTAGTCACACAGTTTTTTGTTTGTCATGACTATTTTTGAATTTTTAGTGACACATAATAGACTAAATGCAACTATTGTTGACATTTAATAACAGTTTTTTCATGCTTCATGACTATTTTTGAACAACTTAAAATCATGTATATGTCAAATATTGACCAATTAACATCATGTATGTTACTCTGCTAAACGTCTTAGAATCGTTTAAGAGAGTTGATTGAACATCAGTAAATTTGATTCCTAATAACTGGTAAGAAATAAGATACATCTCATGAGAATTAAAATGGAAGTATGGATCATTTGCTTCAAAGGTCATTGTTGTTAGTTCTTGTATAGAATTAGCTAAACATACCACTCCACAAGTTGCTACAAATGTAAGTCATATATGTAATCTACGTTTTCAAATAAAACAAATAGAAATCAAGTTTTTTGAGTTTAAATAGTAAGTAAATCCAACCCATTATAAAGATTCATCAAGTATGGCTGCAAATGAAAGACTATGTTTACCACCATCAACGGAAATTCCAAGCTTGGTTGATCTCTATGGTTGAGGCTACAATTCATTTTTACACGTGGGAAGGGCTTACTCTACTAGAGGCTCGGCTTGGTCTCGCTCCCTTCCCGTACTATTCCTCCCCACTAAAAAAAGAGCGATTGAGAATCTCAAGAACCTTTCTGAATGTCTGTCTTAGCGGTGCGATTTGAAAAGGGGTATATCTTTCTTGTAGTGCCTTCCATTCCAACTCTCTAGATTCCACAAATTGGATCAGGCTTCTAGAAAAATCACGCTCGTGAAAGTGTAAGACTCCACAACGGTAGATTCTACCCCGAAAATCCAGAAAGGCTGGTAAATAAAATGAATAACCTTCGTAATCATGGTTGCATCTAAATTAGGGCTTAGAGATGAAAAACAAGAAGAGATTACCTGGAGTGGAATCGTGTTCAATGCAATATCTGATATTAAAAATGAACGAGGGCAAGGAAATGTTTGGGAATTATGAGCGGAGATTAAAATGTTGAAAAGTGGGTTGGGAGATGGAGGCTAAAAGAGTTTAAACATGGCTGTGACAAATGTGGTGTCATTTGCGGGACACCACGTTTGACTGAGCATTTGCAGATAGACTGTCGGAGGTGAAATCAGAAGGAGATGAAGAAATGAAATTACGAAATCCAGAGTTGAAATCCAAAAGCCCTAAACATTAAAATTGCATAATGTGACAACCCGAAACTTTGTCCATTTCCGTTACGCGAGTTTCGTTAATAAAATTTCGAATTTGTTAACTTTTCCGTCAAACTTTTTGGTTTAGAAAATAATCTAGTTATATTTAATTAAACTATTTGCGAGTTGGAACCAAAAATCGCGCGGAAACCCGAATATCTCCAAAAATCAAGCATTTGCGGTCTAAATGAGATTACGACCGTAAACCTGTTTACGGTCAGTAAAGAGTGGACCCCCCACTACACTCCTATAAATACGACGCCTCCACCTTCATTAGAACATTTCTGGCCAAAAACTCTCTCCTTCTCTCTCTAAGGATCTTAACCGTAAACACTCAAAACGCCTTCAAGCTTTGGAAAACATCAAGAAACGATGTTTGGAGTCACTTGGGAACGCCTGGAAACGATTATCTCTTCGAAATCAGCAAGCAGAACCCTGTTCTTGAGTTTACGGTCCAACCTTCAGAAACCGTAAACTCTGTTCTTGAGTTTACGTCCGAACCTTCAGAAACCGTAAACTCTGTTCTTGAGTTTACGGTCCAAACTTCAGAAACCGTAAACTCTGTTCTTGAGTTTACGGTCCAAGCCTTCAAGAACCGTAAACTCCTCTTCGACCGTAAACACCTTTTAAGTGGTGTTTTTGGCTGAAAACTCATCTTCTTCGATTCGATCAAGTCCCGGTAACATTCCTCAACCGAATTCATGTGTACCTCTAACACGTTATCTAACGAAATCGCTAATTAAATACATATACGTATTTATTTGATAATAGGATTTCGTTAAGTGTCGTGCAACAACTCGAGGATCTTCATTTTCAGTCAACGATTTCACGCAACAACTGTGAGTTCATACCCCTACATTTTCTGTATTTTTAATGTTTTCAGGGGGGGGGGGGAATACAAGCTAATCATAAATGTTTTCAAAACTTATGCAAACCTCATACTTTAACCCTTTTGTACTGTGTTAAGCATAAGGGACGTTTTCACCAAAAATTTGCATAGTTTTCCGGACACGCTATTCACTATACATGCAAACTATAATCGGTATAGTTTGGGATTTTTTTTCTAAAAAAACATAACAGGTACAGAAACTTTCACTGTTAAACATATGCACGAAGACAGAAATAGTTTACAGTTACATCACCACTTTATCATGGTTTTCATAACTGTAATTATCATTATATACGGTATACATACGGATTTTCACGACGGTAGAACGCTACTACACTACATGTAAACTAGATTGTACGATATTGTGAGGCGTTACTTCACTACTGTACCCTTAGGTGTACAGGGATAAATCCTACCACTATATAACCAGAGTCTCCTGGAGGGAGAGCATGAGATTTGTGAATAGATCTATTCGGGACTGACAATCCCACATCTGGACTGCTAGCTACAGTTAGGCGGGCACGCCTGAGATGTACAAATGTCATTTAACTCGACGTCTGAAGAACGTTGGAAAGGTCTCTAGTCATATCAAGCATGGTTATACGACTCACAATATGTATAAATCACCTTTAGTTTACAACTTAACACTCTTCAACAGTTCTATTTTTTACTAAATAGCACTGATACACACTACGTAATCTGGCTAAGGCCAGGGTTTTTCAAACAGAACCGATTATGCAATGGTTTCATATATAAAATACTTTTACTTCATGATTAGTTTTAGCTAGTCACGTGAGGTAGGATTCTCTCATATCACTACAGTTTTCAGTAACGAACATTCATGGTTTTATACAAAATCGATAACGCTACCCGTTTTCACTAAAGAAAATATCGGATTTTCTTGGAAACATATAGATATTCATGGTTTATTACAGAACTGATAACACTACGTTTTCACTAAGGAAAATATCGGATTTTCTTGAAACTATTCAAATATTTTCCGAACTCATCAACGATTTTCACTACAAACCACCGCTTATGAACTCACCAGTTTTATGCTGATACTCTTTTAAATTGCTTGTATTCTCAGGAAATCAGTAGACAGGTGCCTACTGGGTTTTTTGAAGAGTTGAAGCAATAAGAGTTTAATGTTATATTCATACAAGTTATATGATGTAATTCAAACAAGTTTCAGAATTGATGTAAACATTTTTACTTAAGTATTCACTGTAATGGTTGTGTTGCTATGATTGATGTTATTCATTGGTTGTGATGTTATACATGACGTCCTCCACCCCGGAACGTTTCCGCCATCGGTTTCGGGGTGGGACACATAAATAGATTGCAAGGTACATTACAAAATTATTGAAGAAGAAGTGAAATTGGAAGGCGATGAGAGATTTATATCTGGAACTTGATTGTTAATCGCCGCTAGAGAGAGATGTAGAAGCAAGGTAGAGACACAGGGCAGGCGTAGTGGATTTAACACATTGGAGGTGGAGTGGAGGCGGCGGCGGTGAAGCGCTAGAGTGAGACGACGGAGCAGGGTAAAGGAGTTTGCAGGCGACTGAAGAATAAATCATAAAAGAGAGGGGAGGAGACGAACAATTAGAGGCACGGTTGTATTGGGTCAAATGAAGCAAAAATAATTTAATTGAATAAAAGTTTACATTAATCTTTGAGGGGAGAGGGAAGCTAAAATCTTGTATTTTTGGTAAGGAGGGAAACAAATGTTAGAAATTTTTGGTAGAGATGAAAAATGTTGAAATTTTAATAAACAAAGAAAAAAAACTAACTCCTCCAAATCTTTCATGTTTTCACTTTTAAACAACAGTGTCTATAAAACACTTATAATGACATGCTTTTTTTTCTTTTATTGTTACAATTTTTTTTATTCTTTTAATGTTACAATTTTTTTTTTAACTTTTGGAGGCACATAAAAATTAAAACGTGACTATAAAATACTTTTAGTTATATGTTTTTGTTTAATAGCATAGTAATATACTTATAGTCACATGTTATTCTTCTTTTATATTCAAAATCATTAGTTTAGGAATACATATGAAATTAAATTCTTATCATAAAACAATTATAGTCACATATTTTTTTAAATGTCATAATAAAATACATACAATCACAATGATCTACCGTAACTATTGGTTAGTATTTGTCACATTTTTTTATGTAAAACAGTGACAAAATGTGTGAAAATAGTTTGCAATGATGATAGTTTTTAACTAATATGTAACTAAAACATTACTGGAATTTGATTAATGACCTTTAATGACGCAAATAATCAAATCCGTGATAGCCCTTTTAAAAAAAATATTGTTATAGGTCCTTTTTGTACTAGTGACTTTTGAAATTATGTTTTTTTGTTCTTGAAGAGTTTGAAGAAAAGAAAGAAATTGAAGATGTACATATATATATATATATATATATATATATATATATAATCGGATATAAAAATGATGACAACAATAATCTTGAAATAAAAAATTATAACTATATATTAGCTTAAATAGCAGTTTCAAATTTGACCCAATTCAACCTTTAACATCCTGAGTTTTAACCAAATTCTACCTTTAACATCCTCAAGTTTTAATGATTGACAAATAAACTTTTTTGTTATAATTAATCTCTCAAGTGTTCGTAAAATTCAGATTATTCGTTAAGTAAGAAGTTCACAACAAGCCATGAAGCTAATGAAAACATTCTAATAAGACGATACACGATGAAATTTCGGATCGTAAAATAAATTAAGGACCAAAGAAGAAAGGAAAATATGATAGATAATTGATGCTAGATGGTAACTATCATAGTTTCGCTATCTACCATCTAGTATTGATATTGTGATTCCATTTATGGACACTAAATCATCATATTTTCTCGAAGACTCGCTTTCGTTGTTTAATTTTCTAATAAAGAATCCGGGATGTTTTGGTCGAGGCATCCGTACTGTTTCACTGCTCAATAACAACACCACCTTTGCCATACCAGGCCTATCTTCTGATTGTTCTTGAACACATAATAGTCCAATTTGTATGCACCTTAATACTTCATTTTCTGAAAATTTGGCCGTGATAGATTCGTCTAGTAGTTCTAAAGAGTTGTCTTCGTTCCATAACTTCCATGCCTAAGAACATATTGTTTTGTTACAAATACAATGAAGGACCTTAACAAAAATTAGTGTGTATTATGTTTCTAGAATATATATATATATATATATATATATATATATATATATATATATATATATATATATATATATTAAAAATTCACCTAGAAGATCCCAATCACCAATATCACTTACTTGTCCAAGAAGGTTAAGTTGGCTATTTGTGTTGGACGAGCCTCTGTTTCTTTTACCGCTCACTATCTCCAAGATCAAAACCCCGAAACTAAAAACATCGGATTTTGTGGAGAAGTGACCATCCATCGCATATTCAGGTGACATATAACCACTATAAGAAATTTGTTAATGGTAATAATAATAAGTGAAATTGTCTAAAAGTTACATAATATCATTTGTGTCATAAATAATTATATATATATATATAATATATATATATATATATATATATATATATATATATATATATATATATATATATATGCATGCCACATAGTACATTGATACTTACTACGTTCCAACCACTATCTTTGTTTCTGCTTCGGTTTGATCACTCCCAAAAATCCTTGCGATACCAAAATCTGATATCTTGGGTTCATGTCCTTATCAAGCAAAATATTACTTGCTTTCATATCTCGATGAATGATTTTAAATCTTGAATCTTGATGAAGATAAAGAAGCCCGCGTGCAATCCCACGTATAATATCGAGTCGGATTTTCCAACTGAGTATCATATTTTTCTCTTTGTCTATGGCGATTATCAAATAACACGTTTAGATCTCAGCATATAACTTAGGTATAAAAAGAAGAAAGAGTGCAATAGCACTGAAATTTTACCAAAAAGAAACATATCAAGACTTTTGTTGTCCATGTACTCATAAATCAACAACTTCTCTTTAACCTCAATAGAACAACCTAATACCCGAACTAGGTTTCGATGTTGGAGTTTTGCAATTAATCGGACCTCATTTTTAAGTTCCTCTATCCCTTGCTCACAAATTCTTGAGAGCCTTTTTACAGCTACAACTTCACCTTCTGTTAATGTACCCTACGTCACTAACAAATTAAATTTCACCATTTCTTTATGGTTGTATGGTGTATTATCTCGTATGATATTATAACTAAAAGTGTTTAAAACTTGATATTAAAAATTCTAGAGATCTGTATTCCGGATGGTAGATATTGATATCCAAATTTTGGGTACGAATTTTGGTATGAAATTTAAATATCGGAAAATTTACATAAAATATTGGATACAAAAATTTTTAACCTAGAAATCTACACTACTTCTTATTTTACGCACCATAGTCACATATTATTTGTAGACTTCCATCCGCTCAATATATGGACACGATTGCATCTTTATTGCATAACTAGTTGTGATACCCGTATACTATATGGGTTGATTAAAACAAAATATTAAATAAAAATGATTAAACGACAGTTTATTTGAATTTGAAATTTGAAATAAGTAAAAATTATGAAAATAAAAATAAAAATAAAACATGAAAAAATCAAATTAAAATTATGTCTTTAGTTGTCAGACCCGTGTATTAAATATGCTAATTATAACAAAATGTTAAATATAAAGGTTTCAACTGTAGATTTATTTAAAATTGAAGTTTGAAGTTTGAAATTTAAAATTTAAAATTTAAAATTTGAAATTAATATAGTTATTATGGTATGTTTAATTTATAGAAACTAAATTAATGATATATTCAAAAATGAAAAATGAAGTAAATGACAAATAGATAATAAATATTTCAAAATTATGACAAAATGATATGTATACTATACTGGTTGATTAAAACAAAATATTAAATACAAATGATTAAACGGCAGTTTATTTGAATTTGAAATTTAAAATAAATAAAAATTATGAAAATAAAAATAAAAATAAAACATAAAAAAATCAAATTAAAATTATGTGTTTAGTTGTCAGACCCGTGTATTAAATATGCTAATTATAACAAAATGTTAAATATAAAGGTTTCAACTGTAAATTTATTTAAAATTGAAGTTTGAAGTTTGAAATTTAAAATTTAAAATTTAAAATTTGAAATTAATATATTTATTATGGTATGTTTAATTTATAGAAACTAAATTAATGATATATTCAAAAATGAAAAATGAAGTAAATGACAAATAGAAAATAAGTATTTCAAAATTATAACAAAATGACATGTGACAATAATGCATGAGAAAACGACATGTGGCAAAGTTATCTTCATTTATTAGGTAGGATTTAGCCAACGATGTAAGCTATTATATCCATTTTAAGCGTATAAAGAAATTTAATCATTAAAAGAGGTCTCAGTTGTTTCGTCTCCATACCAGAATAATTACAAAACAAAAGATTGCTAATATCATAACACAGACGAATTGGAATTAAAATACGTATATTTCAGATTTTCAGATAGTCAGAGTATCAAAAATTTCAGAAAATTATCATTTCATATTTCGGATTAATGTTTAGATTTTTGATCGGATTTTTGGAATAAGATACTTTTGAGCATGTAATTTTAAATGTTCATATATTCAAGTACTTTACCTTGTAAACACACCCGAACCCTCCTTGCCCAAGTTTATTTGTATCCGAGAAGTTGTTTGTTGCGGTAGTAAGTGTCGTAAAATCGAACAAGGGTAATTCAAGTTCATCCATTGACGTTTTACTGTAATAATCTCTTCTACTTGGTACAATTGCCCCATCATTTACCAAGAAGTCTTCGGTTCTTTCTTGCGGACCTAATTTGGATCAACACAAAATATATCAAGAACATATGAATTACAACCACAAACTATTTTGACTTTGAAAATTCAAACTCTTTTTATTTAAATACAAAACTTACATCAAATGCTTTTAGTCTTGTAGCTAAATTTTTCGCCAATATTAAAAAATGTTTATGGTTAATGTGGTTATGAATTATTTCCTAGGTTATTCACTTATTAAAACCAAAATGGATAGGTCTTATATTATGAATTGACAATCTTTTTACAATATAATATAGCCATTCCTAAAATGTAAGTTGGCATTTAACCGTGTTTCGAGTTTAGGCTCAACTCATTTGTAAGGCTAGTTTAGATGAGCCTAGGCTCGAGATCAGATTCATTAACAAGCCCGTTTAATTTTATCAATAACTTAATATATAAATTATTTGATATTTAATATTTATCAATAGTTCAATATATAAAATAAATAAATAATTATATTATATAAAAACATATATGCTTGTTTAGGTCCACGAGCGCAGTCTAGCTTGGACTAAAACTTGGGCTCGATCTTGTTGAAAATATCATTAAACTCGTAGTCAAATTTTTAATGAGTAGTCCCGATTAGTCGATGAGTAGCTCAAGGAGTTGATCCTGATTACCTCTTCTATTAATTGACTTTTTCAAATTTCTTGTTTTCTTCTTCTTCAAGTAGACGAGAATAAGTAGAAATGTGAGCACCACACAAGTACTGGCAGTGATGCCGACAATTTTGCCAACGTGGTTGCCATTGCCGGAGCCATTTTTGGAACTTCCGACGCCCATTGATTGAACTGCAATGAAGAAGTCATAGTTATTAGTGTTTATAATTGTAAAATAAAGCACAACTACTACTTTTAATACACATGAGATAAGTTCCTAAAGTGTAATTTGGTATGTCTCCCAAGATAACCAAGTGTAGCGTGGTATACCTAATATTTTTGTTTGATGAATTTACACCTTGTTCCCGAGTTCCACTTAAGGAGAGAAATGAGAGGATACGGAGGGAAAGTGAGGGGTGTCGAAGGAAAATCGTGTTCCCGAGTTTCATTAATGGAAGGAAAGTGAGGGGAGGGGAAGGATTTTGGAGACATATTTTCCTTCCAAATTTTCCTCCCAATTGGACGGATTTGGGAAGAAAGTGAGGGGAAGGAAAATTTTTAGTTTTATTTTCTTTTTCCTCCTAACTCGGGAACACAAAAACTTAAAATTTTCCTTTCATTTCTTTTCATTTTCTTCGAACTCGGGAACACGGAATAATGAATATTTTCCTTCACCTCCCTTTCTTTCCGTCAAAATTTTCCTTCCCTTTCCCTTAATGAATTTACAAAAAAACTCGGGAACAAGGCGTTAAAGTATTTTTTTCGTCTAAAAACATGAATATGTCGGTGCAACAATACCCAAGGTTAATTCAGAAACCCAAATCCTAAATTACCCCCAATACCCACAATATCAACAACAACATAGACAAATGCCGGTGCAACAAACTTATAACCAATTTGGGCTCTCTCAAGACCATTGTCGGTTATAATCCGTACCCACAAAATCAAACTCCATATTCCATCCCCGAAACCCCTATGTCATATTATGTTCCTCGCACATCGCATTTCCATGAGCCCGGAAATGCTGAATCATCTGACGAAACACAACCCATCTCTCCAAACCAGAATAATGAATTGACTGTCAAAACCCAACCCGCCCCTCAAACCAAAACCAAACCCACAAGAAATTTTACCTAATGGGTAATATGACGAGATGTTCCGAAAGAAAAGAAGTGACGTTGTTGAAGACGTTTAATCGTGTTTCGGAAAACGAAGAACGTGGAAATCATCAACATGTAGCCTCATTTTGGCAGCAAGTTCTAGAGCACTTCAGTTCGCAATCTCGTGGTACTTATCGTACTAGGGCTTCAATTGAACTCCAAATGAAAGGATTTGTAGGCGAAAGTTAACAAGTTCAGTTGCATCTACAACAAGTTCAGTTGCATCGAAAATGACCAAAGCATCTAACTCCAACATGTACACAACCTCTTTGGATTCCTATTTTTCATCTCACTTAAACGAGGTAGTGACGTGTTTAATGTTTTAGAATTTCCTATTGAAGAACATCAACAACGACAACAACAACGAAAGGAAAGAAAGTAATATCCACATCCTCATCGCACAATAATATCAAAAGCTTCGCGAATCAAATTAGACATCTCGCTTCGAATAACCATAAGGTGGAGAGAAAAGAGTGATACCGAATTAATAAATTGCATATGTTAGAGGAGTCACCACAAAAAGAACTAATTGTGGAGAGAGATAAATTTATAAGTGTTTAAGGATGGGTAAAGCTTGCTAGATTGCCTACGGTTGGGATGGGTAAAAAGTGATCGACTCCTTCTACCTTAAGGTAGTGTTATATTACCCTAGCAAGGCAACATGGTCTAATCGTGGAGGGCGGCTACCAACAGGAATACTGTGTTACCTATGACGGTGAACGCAAAAACGAACCTCAGTGTGGCCGGACCCTCGCTCTAGTCTCTTTCTTCCATTCTCTTCCTGTGAGAGAGATGTGAGAAAGTTGACCCAATGCCAGGAGAATGATGGTGAGAATGGTACAAGCGACGACGTATGCCCGAAAATAAAGGCTGATAATAAGATGATGTGTGTTAATCATAGGAATAAGACAAAATCCTAACAAAACTCAAACCTAAGAGTGATTTTGTAAGACGATTAAAAGATAGACTCAAGGTGCAGAACTTTTGGTCAACTACATTCATGGACCATATTCGTAATTTACTCTTGTTATTTTCATTTTTGATGGAAAACTAAATTTTCATAAATTAATGATGTTGATGTTTGTGAACTAGATATTTTATTACATAAAAGATTATTTAAAGATAAGGTTAATGTCATAAAAAAATTCATAGTATTCGTTTTTGCTTTTTGGATAATTTAATTTAATTGTATTAATCAGATGAATAAACCATTGGGTTCTAATCATTTCTCCAACCCACTCCTATTTTCCATTATTTCCTTCATTTCGTTCCTCATTCCTCTCCAACCTATCCCATTTATTCCCCCATTTTGGGGGAAATGAATAGTATAACATCATATTTGGTGTTATACTATTTCATTATCTCCAAAATGGGATGAACTTTGAGTTGTTGATTTTAGTCCATTTTTATATATATTTATACATTTCTGGTTTTTTATCTACTAATTATAATTTAAATATAACATTTAATACTTATAATATTGTGTTATATATTAAATTATATTAATTATTTATAAATATAAAGTTTGTTTTTGTTTATCAAATTCTTATTAAAATTTAAATATATATTGAAATTTTAAAACACGATAACGTATTTTATAAAAGCTTATAATTAAGTGTTGTAAATATAATCTTATTTATTTAATATTATTGTAATGAAAAAAAATATAGATTATATATTTGTTAAAACCAAATTAATATAAGTTAGAAGAATGGAATATAAGTTAGAAGAATGGGTGTGTTTGACAATTTATATAAGTTAGAAGAATGAAATATATACTTTTTGAGTAAAAATAAGGTAAAAAAGAATAGGTTGAAAATAAAACACTTTTTACTCAATTTTTTACTTAAAAATAGAAGTGGGTTTGTCTAACGTGATTTCTGCCGGATTCGAAACATACGTAAATCAGAAGCTGCAACTCTAACGTAAAGATCTTGCCCTCCATTTTCAGAATCAGCATACTGCCTCATATCCATAAGATCCCCTACCCAAAATACACAACCCGACCCGCCTTCAGTGATATTCATACTAGCATAAGCAGCACAGGAGCAATTCTTCTTGCAAATCGCACCACACTCGCTCAAATTCATCGTCTGATCTACAAACACGTTCGAACTCTCTGGCAATTTCATATTATTCATTGACAGAAATCCATCCGATCCGCAATCCAAGTCTGAGCTCCGAACACACCCATCCAACCCATCTCGTAGATCCCATGCTTGCTGGTTTTTCGGCCGGAATCCAGTCGTACAATTGCAGATCGGTGCAGTGCTTGCATCACAAATGCCGAACGAACCACATTCACCAAACTGATCGCATAAATCATCGGGGAAAGACCAGAACACACTCCAGGTATTTGTTGATTTAGCACAGACGAATCTTTGATTAATACCAGAAGAATTTATAACCAATCGCGAATAAACAGAACTATCCAGCATTTCAAATGAATAACTAATCTCGTCGGAATTCTCCTCAAGTTCAAACTGCATCATACTCACCCCTTTCATCGCTGGTACACCACTAAATCTCATCCCGTTCCATGGCCCAGTTCGCCAAATTATTGTTTCATTCTTCACTGTTAAAAGCTCCGGGAATCCAATGATATTCACTTTAAAAGTATAATCACCGGTCTTCGGATCGTTGTTTGTCTTCCATGATTGCAAAACCCGATTGATTCCGGATTTCCTATCCCATCCCAGTTTCATCTCCGGTAGTAGAGTATCAGTCGGATAATCGAAGCTTTGCCAAATGTAATTCTCCGGATTCTCATCGTTTTCTGGACGAAGCACAAAGTTACCGTTGTCTAAAAGCTGCGCCACCGTGTTCACCACCTGCGTAGATTGATTTGAGGACCAGACGACAGCTCCCATTTGATTTACAAGCACCAAGTTGCTGTTGTTGACGATGGTTAGGCTCCCGGACGATGAAGTAATGGGGGTGTCTCTATTAGCTACCCATAAAATTGTTCTCAGCTCAATTTGCTTGTACCAAATGCCTATATACAAATAATTGCTTGTATTGAAGAAACCCAACTCGAAAACTTCACCATTAGAGACTAGAGTTTGATTGGTGGTGAGAGGTTGTGTGGGTGTGATGGTGTCAATAGCTAGAGAGAGAATAGGGTAGAACAGAAAGAATATGAAGATGAAGGTGCTGATATGGCAATGGAGGGATTTCATTCTCTGAAAGTTACAATCACCAACAGAATCGATCTTTGTGTTTATTGGACCGGGGTATTGGAGATTATATGTTGGTTCTTATCTTTAACGAATTCGTGGAAATGGTGGAACAAGTCTTCAAATGTTAATAGGGTGTGTTATTTTTAATTCTGAAATTCTGTGATTATTTGACCATTTTTAAATTAAATGATAGATGCATATTGACCAATAATTATGGAAATTGTATAGTAAATTACTCGTTCTAATGATGATCTTCAAAAACTATAATTAAGATAAGCATGTGATGTATATCAAAATTAATCGATCAAGAGCAATGATAACTGGACTAGTGACCAAATTAGACCGGATAAACATGTTGTATGTGTTGTGGGAGGTTGAAAAAACTTAATCCTGACATATCAGTTTGGTTCCTGTTTCTTCTCGTGTAAACTCGTTTAGTTAATTGGGATGTAATCTTTTACTCATTTGTTTATTTTGTGTGAGATTAGTGGGTTTTAGGCTTTAAACTTGTAAATGAACTGAAACACCAAAGGTTGAAAGCACTTGACCCTAGCCCTACACGTTTATTTTTTCTGTGTCGTATGGTTTCTTTTAAACATAACATTTAAACCAGTTGAAATCTTTTATTTAAATCCGTTTATTATGTGTCGAGTTAACATAGCATGTTAGGTTTGCCAGACCTATCAAACCAGACAAAAAAAAAAAAAACTAAAAATACATATGAATTAATCTGATCGAATTATGAACTCTTGTTTATTGAAAAGGATAGTATAAATAGCAAATCATCCGTAATAAACAAGCATTCAAACACACAGATACTTTCTTGAGGTTGTATGTCGAAGAGAATGAGGAACCAGGGAAGGTTTGTTTTGTTATTCTGTTATAAGTATAAATTATAATGTTATTTATTATTACTGCAAATGTCAACTCTGGTATCACATCAATGTGAAATCATCATCTTTAACTAATCGATCAAAAAATTATTATAATCGGGAGGAAGATTTGTGAGGAGCATGAAAATTCTTTAAGTTAATAAATTTTATTAATTTTATGATTATTTATTGGTTTATGCTTAAATTCTGTTAAGTTTTTTATTTTTTATTTTTCTCTTTATTAAATATAATAACAAATTTTCAAGTTACCATGAAATCAAGTTTGCAATATATATATATATATATATATATATATATATATATATATATATATATATATATATATATATATAGAGAGAGAGAGAGAGAGAGAGAGAGGATCATTTGAGAACTCATAGTTTCCCAAGAACCCAAGAACCAAAAGTGGAGCGTTTGATCAAAAAATGGATGGTCAATATGCATTGTGGCATTTTTGTAAATAAGTGGAAAAAATAAAGTGACAGAGACATCAAAATTAAATGGAATTTGGGCATTTTAGGGTTATAGAAATTGACTCGTACACAATCACCATTCCTTATCAGATCTCTCTCTCTCTCTCTCTCTCTCTCTCTCTCTCTCTCTCTCTCTCTCTCTCTCTCTCTCTCTCTCTCCACCGTATCTATTCTCATCGTCTCCATCTTCCCTGCAATCGCACATCGGGTTGTCTGAAACTTCCCAAATCGGCTCGATTTGTTGAAAACAGAAGCTAGGGTTTCGAAATTGAGCGGCTCCACCAAGAAGAATTTCAAATCCGCCTCCCGTTTCGAAATTGCTCGTTCACGTTCTTCCTTGGCGTCTTCTTACTGCCTCCAGATTAATATCTACCATCAATTCATCTGAAATCCATTTACACCCGCAGCTGAAATATCGAAATTCCAGATGGTATGTATGACAATTTCATGTTGATTTAGTTTTTGTATGTATATCGTGAATTTATTGGAGAATTAACCTGTTTCTCTGTCATATTCGTTGCGAAGACTTCATTCACACAATAATCCATTTGTTTGACAGCTGAAACTTTTGTATCGAGATTGATTGTATAGTTATTGCGTACTGATTTTGTTTTCCGATGTATATCATGAATCTGTGTGGAATTAATCTGTTTGTTAAATTTATTATGAGATTTCCACATAAACACACATCATAGTCGTATAAAGTTCTGTAGATTTTCGAGTCATAAACAGTAACTTCCAATGTCTCAAATTCACCATTCTCATCTTTCGACTTTTGCCTCAGGGAAAAACTAAAACAATTAAACTGATTTAGTTGAAGGTTTGGAACTGAATGACAGATGGAATCAAATGCATTTTCATATGATTCTCTTTATTGTAAAACTTGAACATAATAATAGCTCACTAAACCTCATAATGCCCTCGATTTGATCAGAGACCAGGAAGTTCTCCAGGAGGAAGCAAAAGCCTCGTCGATTTCATCAACAATCACCACACATTTCAATCGGATGCACATGTAACACAGGTATGCTTTATTTTGTAAATTCATACAATTCATCTTTATTTTGTAAATTCATACAGTTGAAATTTTCCAAATTGACACTGGAGCCTGATTCAATCAACAAACCGTTTTTCATGGTTGTATTGTTTGTAGACAATAGGGATGGGACATACACTGGCTTCTACATGGCAATGAATGTTGGAACTTACAAGATATGTGTTTCATTTGATGGAATGAGTATCTCCCCATGTCCCTTTGAGGTGGCTACTTACGACAGTAAGTTTAATTAGGAGTTGAATATTTAAATAGAAATAGAATATGTGTCCATATGACCTATATTTCTTTTGTTCTTCAGGGGAGTACTTTCCTATAGCTTATGGCCTTGATGTCTCTGTTTGGGAGGATGAATCCATTGTTTTTAATGCTCTAGTAAATGATTACTTTGTTGGTGGAAAGGCAAAAGTCGTTGAATATGAAAGTGTATGTTATTTACTATTTAGTTTTTAATTAAACATCGATCATCATAATTGTTTTTAATGTTTGAAAAGTTCAAAATACTACTAGTATTCAGCTGAAATTTTATTACTGAATGAAATATATTTTGTATTGGCAGGTTGCCTGAACTGCTACAACAGGTCTTCATTATGTAAAAGGGCAGTTGCAGAGCTACCAGTTACCAAAACATAAACATCAAAACAGGTCACTGTTAGCTGGAACATTATTAGCAGTCAGCCCTGTCTCAGCTGTGATGGCTCCCATGGGAGCTGCACAGAATGCAGCAAAGGAACTTCTTGATTCTATTCTAGATGCTATTGTTCGGATATTTGGTTAGTATAACTATATAAGTTACTAATCATGTAATCATCATCTGTGATTGTGACTGAGTGAGTATATTTTGCAGATAACCATGTGGTTGTTGGAGAGCTTCTTGAGTCAAAATGTTCTCAAAAGCACCAATGAACACGCCGAAATCCATGGTAACTGAGATTTCTGGGAACCCTGATTCTGAATCATCTAAGGACACAGGAGGCTACACTATTGGCTTTTCCATGACTGTTCTGCAAATAATTACTTCTTTACTCTTTTTACTATCTTATGAATATTCATTATATAGTTCATGATCTTTAACTGTATATATAACAGAGTGAATGCCAACAACTTATTTGTGAGATTCTACGAGCAACTCCTGAAGCTGCATCTGCTGATGCTGCTATTCAAACAGCTAGACTTGCAAATAAGGCTCCTTCAAAAGAAAAGGGGTAAGCAAGTATACTCTTTTTTTTTCTGACCTTTTCCATTCCCAGCTTTTGTATAGCTCATTTTTTTGTTTTGTTATTTATAATAATACTTTCGTTAACAGGGATAAGACAGAAGATGGCCTTACATTCGCCTTTCGCTTCACTGATGCTTCAGTATCCAGCCAAGGTACATGAAAGACTCTGCTCTTTGACTTTATATTACATATTACTACTTATATTTGCAAAGTGTTTTAACTTTTGTGTGGTCTGACTTATGTAATTCACATATGAATTACATGTGATTCACATGTAAATCACATGTAATTCACATATGAATTATATGTAATTCACATGTAAATTACATCTGATTCACATGTAAATCACATATGAATTACATGTGATTCACATGTAAATCACATGTAATTCATATATGAATTACATGTAAATCACATATGAATTACATGTGATTCACATGTAATTCCCATGTAAATCACATATAATTCACATGTAATTCAAATATGAATTACATGTGATTCATATGTAATTCACATATGAATTACATGTGATTCACATGTAAATCACATGTAATTCACATATGAATTATATGTAATTCACATGTAAATTACATCTGATTCACATATGAATTACATGTGATTTACATGTAAATCACATGTAATTCATATATGAATTACATGTAAATCACATATGAATTACATGTGATTCACATGTAATTCCCATGTAAATCACATATAATTCACATGTAATTCAAATATGAATTACATGTGATTCATATGTAATTCACATATGAATCACATATGAATTACATGTGATTCACATGTAATTCACATATGAATCACATATGAATTACATGTGATTCACATGTAATTCACATATGAACTACATGTGATTCACATGTAAATCACATGTAATTCACATATGAATTACATGAGATTCACATGTAAATCACATATACATCATATGTAATTCATACGTGAATCGTCTGTGATTCATATGTTAATCACATATGTATTTTTGTGAGTGTTTTTGCATCAATCAATTTTTTTTATTTTTTTGTAGATTTGGAATAAATTGTGGTGAATATTGAAGAGGTGAAGATGATAAATTGAAGAAAAATATGGAAATATTGACACGAAGACATAAAAACGCTTTGAAATTTTGTACATTTTTTTTGTTTTTAATGTTTTTTTGTATCGAATAAAATACTTATTTTATTGTGTTTATAGATTGGTAAATAAAATTAGTTTTTTTATGATCTACTTACGAAAATTATAGTATAAAAAATATGAATATATGCATTTGAAAAAATATGCATATATGCACCTAAAATTTTATTTTATTTTTTTAAAAAAATGCAGTTTTTAATGCATTTTTTTTAAATGCAGTTTTTTTGGAAAAAATGTAAATTTCTTTAAAAAACTTGCAATTTTTTTTATTAAAAAATGTAGTTTTTTTAAAAAAAAAAAAAACTACAGTTTTTTTTTAAAAAAATGCAGTTTTTTTTTTAAATTTTCAGTTTTTTTGAAAAAAAAAATATAGTTTTTTTGAAAAAAAAATGCAGTTTTTTTTTAAAAAAATTGCAGTTTTTAAAAAAAAATATTTTCTTCATTTTTTTTTCAAAAATACATGTTTTCTATAAAAAATTAAAAAATCCGCATTTAAAAAAAACGAAAAATACCATTTTAACAAAAAATCTAAAAATTTTATTTATGATGTAAATTTTTAGACATTTATATTAATATATTAAATAACACAAAAAATTAAACATTAAAAGAGATTGGTAAGATGACGATCATGTCCTTAATGAATTACTTTTGAACCAACGCTCCACTTTTATTTCTCGGGTTATCGGGAAACTTGGTTCTCAACCGATCTCAACCATATATATAGATATATATATATATATTATATATATATATATATATATATATATATATATATATATATAGTATATATATATAAGAAAAATTTTAGGTAGACATTGTATAATATGCTTTTAGAAGTATAAATACATAAATTTATGTTTCTAGAAAAATATATATATCTTTTAGAAATATTAATTATTTTTATAAGTATATATACAAATTTTTACATATCAAGAAATATATCAATAAAACACATGTTTATATGATGAAAATGAATGTAGTTATACTTCTAAACACACACACACACAATATATATATATATATATATATATATATATATATATATATATATATATATAATTCAATAAAAGTATAAATACATATTTAAACATTTAAAAATGTAATTATATGTCTAAAAAACATTGAAATAGGTATTTATGCTTCTAAAACTAAGTATTTATACTTCTATAGAAGTATAAATATGCAGCATATGGTTCAACAAAGAACTCCCGAACTGACACTTTACCGGTATACCCTTTGGCTCTGAACCACAAACGAACTCCCAGATCATCTAATTTACATTACACACACCAAAATGAATCTAAATCTCTTTTCCTCAGAGGCCCTAAGCCTGATGATATCTGATCTTCGGTCACCACCCCGCATTAGGAAACGATTCGGAACATGGCGTTACAACTTTGACATATACTCCCATCAGAAACATGCTTCATGGTGCGAACCGAAAAGAAATGATAGTCAAATGAACATAGAGAAGATGTCATTAATTAGGCTTGAAATAACTTAGATACTTATCGGGTGAATAAGTATCATGGTATCGATTGTGATTATCCATCATATTACTTTTAAACAATGTTTTATTTTGTTTGAGGTTTTTGATAGTTTTCAGGCTTCCACTTTAATGAAAAATATTTTTAATCTTTAAAGGTTTTTAAATTTTATTCCACGACCATAATTTATAGCAAGATCCATAGCAAACTTCGTAGCCGTATTTCCATAGCAATATTCGTAACCATTTTTTGTAGCAAGTTCTTTAACCATATTTACGTAGCCACTTTTCCATGACTAATTTCATAGCTATATTTTCGTAGCAAATCTCATAACTATTTTTCCCTAACAAATTTTATATGTATTTGTTCCATAGAAAATTCGTAGCTATTTTTTTTCTTTCTATAGGAAGATTCAACAAAATCGAATTTATTCGTAACAATATACAAATAATGCAATAAAAATAAATTTAAACGTAACATTAAATTTTAGAAGGTATAATCTACAAAGTTACTTAATCATCAAAACTAAATATTAGTTATAAATGATAAATTTTAATACTTCTACCAAGTTCGTTAGTCAATTGTGTAAAAAAATAGTTTCCTAAATATGAACAAAACAAATAGATAATTACCCTCCTAAATCATTTTTTCCGTTTTAATTTGCCACGTAGACACCACATATTCGTTAAACTAACTGTAACCTAAGATAGGCGATCACAATTATAACATCTAAATATTTTTAATAAGCTTGTTGGTTAATCGTATAAAAAAATTGCATAAATGTAAGGAAAAATAATTATCCTCCTAAATTCTTTTCCTTAATTCTTTGATCTTAAGTTCCGTCATGTGTCATTATATTAACTAGAGGAAACTCCCTCGCGCCGTTGGTGCTGGTTTGGATGCGCATGGCGAATTCCCTCGGTTTTGATGATGTCCCGGGTTACAAAATCTTGACCGCATCTACTGTTTGTTTTTGGGTTTGATTACACTCCGCCATGACTTTCCACTTTCTTGATGAGCTGCTCATTTCAACATATGATAATGACATTTAAGAAACTGGATTGTACAATAGCATCTTACTTCCATTCTATCCTATTATGACATTGTATTTTTGAATATGTTTTTTAATAATAACATTGTACTTTGAAAATGAAAGAAAAGTATGTTGCTATAAACTGAAAAAAAAAGACTTACATGCATCAGGAAAACGTTAAGAATATTGATTTAAAACGCAAGGTTTTGTTAGTGATTCATTTTAGCCGATGAACAATATGCGTAATCGTTCAACAGAAGTCCCGATTTGCTTTTTTTTAACCACAAATGGTCCTAACTCCTCCAAACCCCCAAATCCAATTGAGGAGCATCCTGGACCTATATTATCATATCAAAAATAAATTAAAATCCCAACAAAAAAATAAATAAATAAAAATGTTGTCAATCATTTTTATCTATGAGCTTTTGTCTGATTTCCCACGTAAAGCTTCTGGTCAGCTGCCCTATAGGTCCAACAACACACCTGCTACCTCACTTATAGCAGTAGATTGTTGTCAACTCAATAGAAACCATATCTAGAGTTTTACAAAACTCCTGTTTTAAATACACTGAAATATTTCAAATATACAATTTATGGCTTAAATTTAATGACAATGTATTTCAATCTATTTGGGAAGATTTTTTGAGTTTAGTTAGACTTTTGGTAAATATGATAAATTATTCAAGTTAGTTGTTGATAAATATGTTAAATTGTATATATAATTTGATAAATACAGTTATCTTTTTTTGTTCATGACGTAAAAAGTTTTATCAGAACAAAAATTTGGCAAGATAATACATGTGTTAGTGCTTGAGGCAGAGTGCTCTGAGAATTCCTTCAGTAAGGTTAACCGGAAGATCTCTCATAAAAAAACAAATATTTTATAAAATTAATTTTGTATAAAACATATGCATGACTAAGATTTATTAAAATCTATGAACCTGACTTCAGGAGGCATCTGAGGAAGTATCTGCCTTACAGCACAATCAAGGTATATAACAGCCTTTAACAAAATATCAAATGCAGATCTCCCGACTTTCTGTCATATCAAACAATAAATCCACTATGTATGAGAAAAAGCATAATAGATAAGGACGAAATAGTTAATTTAACAATTATTGTTTTTATAAGCCAATAAAAGTTTAAACAAAAGTTATTATATAAGGGAAAAATAGTCATTTTATACTAATTAGAAATGAAAACTGCAACAAAAGTAAACCACAAAGTGAAAAAATTGTGGAGGGACAATATGCAAATTTGTAATCTAGCCTAAAACAATCTAAACCCCACAATAATGACAAAATTAGTAGATAAGAGTAACATCCAGGTGTTTAACATGCCAATCATTGTAACAAATAAGCATGAATTACAAAGTCCTTCTTAGTTGTTTTGAAGCCTTTTCTTCTTCCGTCTGTGATGGAAAACCGAGACACCAATTAAATAAATATTTTTTTGATAATTAAGATTAAAAATAGTTATGCAACTTTTATG